TATATATATATATATATATATTTATATATATAAAAAAGAGCTAACCTATTTACCAAAAATAGTAACAAGAAAAGTCAACTAGCATTTATTGTATCTTATATTTTATAATTCTCTAAATTTCTTTTTAAATTATTTCCAAAAAAATCGATTAACTATATATGCACCCTAAATTCATGGGTTTTGTGGATTTAATTTAGGTAAATTTCGACTTTAGGTAAATTTCGACTGATGCTTACAAATTTGTAAAAGTTAAAAATCTTTCTCATTTTTATTAAAACTATTGATTACCATAAAATCAGAAATTTTTAATTAGGCAAAATACTATCACACATATCTTTTCCTAATTGCAACAGATAAATTGTTTATTAAAAAAATCAGATTGCATAGAAATCGGGTTAATTTAGGCAAAATTCGACATGAAAATTTTGTATAAATCAAAATTCTCTCATCATTTATTATAAAAATTTATTTATCATAAAATCAGAATTTCGAATTATACAAAATACTATAACATGTATCTTTACCTAATTGAAATAGATCATGTTTATTAAAAAATCTGATTGCATAGAAATCCCAATTTAAAATTGAAAATTAAAATTTAAAAATCTCATATCATTTGACTACTATGTTATTTAGTTCGAAGTTTTTTTAACATAAAACAGAGTCAGATAATACTAATTTCAAAATGAAATCAGATTGGAACATCCTAAGTATTTGGGTTTTGTTTAATCTCTAGAATATAAATTTGAAATTGATATTTCTCTTCCTTAAACTAAGTAATTTACAATTTTAAAATAATAAGGCTATAGATTATCAAGAAAGACGTAAAAACAATATAAATCATATCATATATATTCTGCTAAATAATTTAATTGATTTAGTTAATCCTATCTAGAATCCTAGTATAATTTGTGGCGATAGACGATGTATCAAAAGACCAAACAAATAATGTGATGTATTTAATAATAATATATAAATTACATTTTGTTTTATTCCAATACATGCGTTTTACGTTGTTCTAATCATTCAATTTTAAATGTTTATCTTAATTAAAGTAGTCATGCATAGCAATGGTACCCGCACTAATTCAATAAAATGAGCAAAACATATGAATTACTACGATCGACCACAAGAATCACTCGAATATCCTGAAATTTTAAATTTGCTTTGTGATAATTAAATTAGTTGTATCTTTTTTATTTTTTGGTTAATTGTTGATTTAACTAGTGATTAGCTATAGTTATCCACTAACCTCTAATAAAAAAAAAATGTTTCCTTAATTTCCATTTATTATAATCAAATCCGAGTTGGGCCCATTTTTATACTTGTGAAATGTGAAAGCAAGAAACTCTACAAATAAGCTTAAATAATTACCATTATCTATGCAAATTAGATTACCAAAAGCTCTTACCAAAATTTCTTTTTTCTCCCCAATCCCCCCTATATATAATTCTCGAATGCGCTGAGCCTATGTGGCTGCTTCTGGTGCTTCGGAATCCTACTTGGCAAAGAATCATGCTTCGTAATTAGGTTTGAACAAATAATATTGATATATTAATAATTAATATTCTAGGTTCAGACATTCCATAAATATTATTTAACTAACTTAGGTATTTTAATATCACTTGTACTAATATAACTCTTTAATTCTTTGTAATTTTATATAGTGAAGTACTAAGTGACTAATATATCCCTGACTTTTGATTTGTTTCCTTCAATTACTATTGAATTATAATAAATGTATTTTAAAGGTTGATAACTTTTGTATTTCTTATCGGTTTTACTTATATAATATATCAAATTAATCATCTTTTCATGATCTTTGATTTGACATCCACATTGTATATAGAAAATAAATAAATTATATTTATCTTTATAATAATACAAAATAATAATATTTACTAAAATTTATTAGAAAAATAAAACTATTTCTCAATTGATATATTTTTGTGTTTAATGTAGTTATATGTCGTAAGTTAAAAAAAATTAATATAATATAACACAAGTAAGTCACACAAATAAAAAGTGTCATACTAAATATATAATAATATATATTTTAAAAGATATTTAATTTTTCAACTACTTTTTTCTCATTCATTTTAAATTTTAAATAAAAATTAAGCAAGCACCCATGTAATACACAGGCGTTGTATTAGTATATAAATCATACAATAGAAAAATAAATGGTAATTATTTATGCAAAATAGATTACCAAAAGCTCTCACAAAATTTCTTTTCTCCCCAATATATAAATCATACAATAGAAAAATAAATATGGATCACTAAATGATTGCTCTAAATCTTTCATCAAAAGTCAATCCTAATTCATCATAATGACCACTCAACCCCTCACCTCACCTCCACTTCCAAATCCAATACCCAATTTTAAAATTCTTTTCTTTTTTTTATCCTAAATTAATTTCATATTTAATTAACACCGGCCTATCTCCATTACAAGATATAAAGTACCAAAGATCCCCTAAAAAATTAACCATGATACACAGATTTTGTGTTGCATTTTAAATTTTTATTGTAATATTAGTTGTGAACCTAGTATATAAGTGTAGTGGACTGCTCGTCTTATCACTAATTAATTTTGGGATGAAACCTCACTAAGGTGCACTTAGGTTCACCCTCTTATGGTGACATCACCTGGTGGGACCGCACTCTCTCTCTCGGTTCTAATATGGTATCAGAGCGGATTTGTCCTAGGACATGCTCTAGGCTTGGACTTATCTCTCTATCTGGCCTGCTATATGAGCTTGGCTTACGAAAATACTCCCAAATGAAAGGACGTGTTGGAATATCACTTGTGAGTCTCACATTGATTTATAAGGAAAATGAGCATAACATATAAGCCTATTGTGAGTCCAATCAAAAATTGATTTTATGATGGAACTTCACTAAGTTGCACTTAGACTCACCTCTTATGGTGCGCTTCACTTGGTGGGACGCTCCCTCTCCCCTGTTCCTAATAATTTTAAATATGCATGTCATAATGACATGTAGTGTATGAACTATGAACCTATGAGAAATATATGTGCAGTTATAATTTATCACTATAAGAAACTTATGAAATTTCAATGTAAAATTCAACGAAAATATATTCCAACGACATATTTAATAAATGTTCAAATGCTATTATTTACACTAGAATTTTTCAATGGATTCTAACGAAAAACCTAACATAAATATTTCGTTAGAATGAGTTTTCCATTGGAATTTTCGTTGGATTTTGACGATTTCAACGGTAGATTTTCCAATGGGGGTGCAAATACAAATTCCAATGGAAATTGCATATTCCAACGGAATCTCATACGATAAAAAAACCGTTAGAAAATTAGCCGTTGGAATCATCAAATTCCATATAAAATTCCAATGGAAAACTCATTCCAACAGGATATTTTCGTTGGAACATCCGTTGGAATTTCTATTGGAATAAATTACCGTAGGAATTTCCGTTGGAATATAACAACTTTTTATAGTATATATCACGCGGCACAGTAAATTCCAAAAGAAAGGGAAAAAATATATGAGAAAGAACTAAAATAAGAAACCCTACAAATTTTTTTGGTACAGGGACCTTCCGGTTTCCGGATCCACAAGGGAACCGACTAATCCGGAATCGAGCCGGGTAGGACCACAAGGGCGGCAAAGCTCTCCCTCAAGAGTTTTAACACTGAGAAACCCTACAAATTGAACATGCTATATGTGCAATGCATTTATCAAGTTTTTTTGCTGTTACATACATATTAATACAAATTACGAAATTGTGGTAGTCGGTAGGATCAAAGCTTTCGAGAAACCAACTAAGGGTGTGATCGGATATGAGTTATGATCCAATTCAACTGGCTATAATTGGTGGAGTCAATATTTCATATTCAAATCTACTCAACTCAATTCTCATACATTTTATTATAAATATAATTAAATAATATCAATCAATCATTCTCACACAGCACATTTCACTATTCATTCTTTTACATACATAATTTTAACAAAAAATCACTTCCCATAATCCCTCTCAAACTTTTCTATTTTGCTCAAAATTGACTACACAACACACTCAATCTAAGTGTTGTAATTAATTTTTGACCTAAAAAATAACAAATATAATATATACTCCACTAAGCTACTCACTAGAACTAAAAGTACACTAGACCACTCTCTCATTATAAATCCACCACCTCATCTACACATCCTTTTTTTTTTTTTTTTT